GGGGTGGATTGAAGGCAGGTTGTTTTTGTGGGGGGCTTTGTTGGTGTGGGGGGAAGATTGGTTGTTGGTGAGGGGTTGGTCGAGGAGGGATGGTTGGAGGCGGTGTTGTTACGCTATGGGAGGGGCTGGGTTTGGTGAGAGGGGGATCCGACTCGAATGCTCTATTACTGCTTGTCTGTTTCTTCTTGTGGCGACTCGAAAATCCACACACTAAGCCCGAGTGATTCTCTTTCCTATCTAAAGAAGGAAATATGGTATCGCGACCATCTCATTACTATTCAGCATCTCTGCCGTGTCGAAGCAGAAGCTATCATACGCAGCTTGTTTGTCTTCGGCTTTCCCTGGAAGCTCTCTTGAACTTTACTGGAGGCGCGCACTCTTCTGACGAACTTTTCTCTTTCGCATCCTTCACGCTTGATCCGGTTGGGTAGAGGTTTCGTTGCTGATTGTTCTTACCTTAAAATAGGAAGGGAACCAAACCGACCTTTTCGAAAGGCGATGATGAAGAGGTTTCTGTCCTTCGTTCGTCTCTTCTAGTATCCCGCACTTCTTTACTCGTCGGTTTCCTCTCGGTGGTCTCCTTTCTCAATTGGTATATTTCCTTTTCTGTCTCTCCCTCTCTTCCTCTCTCCCCGATACACTTTGTCCGTTTCCTTTCTTGGCTCCACTGTTCCCTCCTCTTGTGTTTTCTCTGATTCCACTCTTCTCCACAGTGGGAAAATATTAACTCTTTCTATCACCAAATGTTGGAGGGACGGGATGCTGAACTCGCTGCGTCCAACCTCCTGACGGACACCCTCTCCTCGCACACTCCCCAACACCCCTCACAGCGGTCGTTGATAGAAAAAAAAAGAAAAAAGAAAAAGAAAAGAAAGCGGATCCTTGTGGGCCTGGCTCCATATCCATTCTGCGGAGCGTCAGTCCGGTTCCTTTTCCGCCGGAAGTCCAAAATACAAATAGTTTGGACAGACCAACGGGCTTAGCTCAGTTGGTACGCCCAAAAACTGTTGAAATGAAGACCTGAGTTCAAAATTCGAATCCAGATGGAACAAATAGATTACACACGTAATGCCTTCCCACGTTACGGGCCATGGATCCCGGAAACCATTGATTTCACCCATAACAGAACTCTGCTTGGTATTGTAGTGTACCCAGTCTGGAAGGAAACTCGTCAATGTCGAAATACAAGATATCTCAGCGCTTGTCAATGTCTCCAATAATCATGAAATGTGATCTGATATACAATGTCTTGTAACCAGAGGACGAAGATGATAGGAGGTAGAAAGACTTAGAGGGCGGAAGAGAAAGTATCCATCAATGTCCTCGTAGATAGATCTCCCTCAAACCCTACTCGTCCCTCGGGCATCTCCCCTCTTCCACGTCAGCAAACAGTATCCCAGAGAGGAGCCTGACAAGATCCGATCACAGCATAGTGCCATGTAGGCACAGATCTCTCATGAAGACGTCACAGCAGCGCACAGTGTAGACAGCATCATCACACATGTAAGTTTCCTCTCTCACTCTCCCATCCAATCTCACAGCCTTGATCTCCCTCCTCGTCGATTCCCCAATCTGTGTGCAATGACAGTGTGGAAAGCGCCACGTCAGCAATGTTGAAGACAGTGTGGCAAGCGCCACATCAGAAATAAAGTATACAGCTGGCGCCAAAAGCAGAGAGGCTCCTGCACGCAATGCAGCAGTCTCACGTCGTCATCACAGACAATGTCAGCATAGTGCCAGCGTCCAGCCAGCGTCCAGCCAGCGTCGTGCCAGCGTCGAGCAGCAAGTGCAAGACTGAATGTTGACCAACAGGGGGTGGGTCATTAAATAGTGTTGTCGCAGTTGACCACTCCCAGGTACGAAGGCTCAGATTGACTCACAGCCGAGGGTTTGGATCGTGTACAGTTGCAGTCTTCCGCTTGGACCATATTCTGTCTGGATACCTGCATACAGACAAGTGTGTGTGTCTGATCGGTGGCCTGGACTGGGGCCGTGCAGACTTTGACTCGTGAGTCTCAACATTCCAAGATACCGTTGACTTTAGTCAACTGTCGGGTGCAGGGCCTCTGAAGCCACGTTTCGGGGGCCTTGTTCCCCACAATCTGGCGCAGGGCCTTGCTGCGGCCTGTGGCAGCCCCTGGCCGACGACAATAGCATATTTGGAGCAGGTTATTGCAGGTATTCTTGTTTGGATTTTGAGTGTGGGGGTCCCACCCACATGCACTTACTCCTTTTCTTTTTCTTTTTCTTCCTGTTCTTGGCAAATTTTTCTTGCTTGCTTTTAAGTTTTTACCCCTTTTCTTTTTCTTTTTCTTCCTGTTCTTGGCAATTTTTTCTTGCGTGCTTGCTTTTGCTGACTCACAACAATCTCTTTGTGGATGGACTTTCTTTGTTCGTCTTTTCCAGGGACTCAATGGCTACAATCGCTTTGGCTTGGCGTTTGAGACGCTTCTCTCCCTTTCTATGGCGTATATAGTCCCCTTCCAACAAGTACTGGGCACCAGGCCTCTTTCTGCAATCCATTGGGCAGTCGGGTTTCCTTTTTCATTCATCATCTTTGTCTACGGGGAGCTGAGAAAGTCAAACGCACGCCACAATCCAGGTATGGGTGCCATTTGGCACTATAGCCACCAGTCGGTTGTCCCCAATATGATAGGTGATCTGCCCCCATGTATTATTTCGCTTCTCCGACTAAGGCCCTGCAGGTTTTGACCAACAGCAGGAGGAGGGCCGAAGGACAGCCTGCATTTGCGTGCTTCCCCAAGTGCACACCCCCAGGCGCGTTAGCATCTATAAATTCTCTCTTGTTTTTTTTGTTTTTTGTTTTTCTCAATGTCTATCTACCATCGGCATTGTTTCAAATGAGAAATTTTAGGAAAGCAGGGCAAAGTAGATGGTTTGGAAAACGACCCCTTGTTCGTGGTGTTGCTCGTCTATGTTCCAACTTCCAAGAGACAGACAAAGGCGCATTCACACAACCGTCTTTATCCGAACAGAACACCGGGTCTTTATCGCTGCACGTAGACTGCAAGTTGCACCAAATACGGTTATAATGACCGGGTGTTCTGTTTGGGTGAAGACGATACGACTTTGTGCGTTGTCTCAAATTGCAGTTATCAACAAAGCCAGACAGCATGTGCGCACTGACACCTAGTGTGCCGTCTTCACCCGAATAGAACGCACGGGTGTTTCTAGAGACTGAAAGTCGCCCAAAATACCGCTATAATGACCGAAAACAGCGAAAAGGGAACATTTAGATTACATTTCACACTGAGACTTTCTTCAGTGCATCCAACCGAATTCAAAGGTGAATTCAGCTGCAGTGGGCACCTTCGCACCTACCGTAGGTATGTGTGCCGCTCCACTGCAACAGTACTAAGAGACCTTGCAATGGGCACATTAAACCACCAGTAACCCGTCCACCCAAAAAAATCCAACCTCCTGAATTCGTGGAGGTCCTCGAACAGGCCGGTAGAGGCTCGGTGCAGGTTCGGTTTTGAAAGTGACCAAGGGGTTCAGGTGGGCGGGGGGCCATTTCGACAAAAAGGGAGCATTTCACACTTGGACTTTCTCTGATGCATCTAGCTGCAATTAAAGACAAATTCAGCCATAATGGGCACATTAACACCCTGCGATGAGTTCCTCTATAGGGCTTTCTCCTGACATAAAGAGACAAAAAGGAACACATTCACGCACAAGTCTTTTGTGGGAAGATCCTGCAGATCCCTCCTAGGACAAATTCACACTAGGACTTTCTTAAATGTGTCGGACTGCAATTAAGGCCTACTCTGGATGTATACGACTGCAATTATGTCCAGAACTGAGTCCAAAGAGTCCTAGTGTGTGCCTGCCCTTACAACTTGTAAGCATGCCCCTCCTTGATCCAGTCCTTCAACCAGGTTTCCCTCTGCATTGATGAACATGGAAGCTACTAGCATCAAAACACAACCATTCGCCTTTGCAGAATCTCAGGGGCAGGCCCCGCCAGTGCTATGTTCATGATTTGGAGGCACGAACCTGATCGTAATGATGGCCAGGTTCTTGCCTTCCTAGAATGAACATAGCCGCGATGCGACCTGGCCCTCAAACCTGGCGGCACAGGGAGAGTCAACGGCTACCGTCTTCACCCGAATAGAACGCCCGGTCGTTTCAGTCCAAAAACCGGGTGTTCTATTCGCGTGAAGACAGTAGGCCACGGGAGTGACCTGGGGCAACTTGCCCGCGACCTCTTACGGGCCCATCAACAAAACGAGAACAACCCTGAACCCTAAACAGTCAAAAAAACAGTCTGTAGACTCCCCATATTGATGCTTCAAGTCATATAGCCTCTCTCTCTTTCTCTCTTAAAAAAAAAAAAAAAAAAAAAAAAAAAAAAAAAAAAAAAACT